CTAAAACTTTCCACCACTCTCCAGTTATAAAATTTTCCCCTTACATATCTGCTTTGTTTTGATTTGTTTGGTTTTTGTTTTATTTTCTTTTGCAAACCAAGGTGTATGACCTTATAAAAAGCTCATTTTTCATTTTTACGCAAAACTAGCATTTGTCTTTTACATATTCTGGTTTACTCATTTCTGCTTGGTAACACCTCGTTCTCTCAGTAGTCGAACTTGATGCAGCTTTCACTGTAATTCGCCTTGATTGCACTGATCAAAACAAAAACTAGACGAAAGCAGATGTAAAAGCTTTTACTCATTTTCGGTTTATCAACGTGCGAGCAATGCACGTTGAATTTATTTGTTTACAAAGAAATGATGTGATGTTTTTGTGTTAAATTATTTAAGTGTTTTTCATTTTAATTTTTGTTTAATTTAAAAATTTTAATTTTTTCTTTTAAAAAAAATTATTGTAATAAATAAGTGTAATCAAAGTTGGATACCGAATTTCGACGCTTCAGTTTTAAACGACATGCAGAACTACAAACATTTGAAGACTTTTCTGCCTTAATGGAACAACAACATAAAGAGGAGATCGGCGACGGGTATATAGTTCACTGGACGTCGCGGGAATTCCGAGGTAATGTCGGATTATTTGGCTATTATTACTTGTGGTATTAATATTTTATTCCCTCACAGGCCTACATAACAAGTTTTAAAAATTTTTTTTAAAAAGGATATTATTTATATATATATATAGTTGATAGAATAGACCGATGAACAGCGGCCAAAAATGGTTGCCTCAACAAGTGGCAATGCAGACAGTAGAGACAAAGAAAACTTGACAACCAAAAATTTTGTTAAATTTCATCTTAATCATAGTTTTATTAAATTCTTAAAATAGATTCGATTTTCACAAACAAAGAAACGCGCCGCGTGCATGGCACTCCAGAGTTTTGGGTTTCTTTGTTTTTTTTTGTTTGATTTTTGGCAGAGCGCAAATAATTTTTTTGTGCGAATTTTTTTTTCTCAACAAAAGTTTTTTTATTATTTTTAAGATTTATGCGAACAATTAGCAATAGTGATACGCAAAAACAAATAATATCATTTTTATTGGAATCTTTAAGCAAGATGAAAAAGATGTTTGTATTAAGGTGAATGACTTAAGACTTGTAATTTCCAATGGAGAAGGAAGCCATGATCTACATCAAGAGGTGCAAACAACACATAGCTTGGCAGACAGACAAGATGACAGAGTTAGAGAATCGTTAGTAATTTGTTTGTGTTTTTTTTTTGTTTTTTTTTTTTGCTTGCAGCCACGATAAAATTTAGTAAAAGTTTATGTGAGGTAGTAGACATAAATATTTTTTTTTGTTTTTGTTTTAGGATTTAGTAACCTACGGCTATGACTTAAAACTCCTGAGGAGTTTAGTTTAAGGTAGTAGGTGAGTTTTTTTTATATACTAATGATTGCGGCAAAAACTGAAAGTAAAACAGTTGTGTTTGCGGTAGTAAGTGTAATTGACGTAGATTTCTGCTACGACTTTAAAATTCAGGTGGGATTAAGTTTGAGACAGGAGCCTTTCATCAAAATTGTTTTTTTATTTTTTTTTTTTAAACCTATAGCTATAATAGAGTATGAGAAGAGTTTTTGATTTGAGGTAATAGGTATGAAATATTGTGTGTGTTATTCGGTAACTAGAGTTTTTTTGTTCTGCTACAAACTAAATCTGATTAAGTATAGTGTGAGGTAGGGAAATTGAGTGAATGGTTGCTACAACAGAGATTCAAGTAGAGCTCTGTTTGAGGTACTGTGTGGGGAAATATTAGAAAGCGGGTATGAGTGAATGAAGTATGGGTCTGAATAAGTACGAATGAAACAGTTAATGCTACCAAACAATAGAATTTTTCGGTAATTTTGTGAGGCCTACTGTTAATTGGTGTCACGCATGCATTTTCTATTAGGGATCGGTATTAAATTGAGGCGTGATACTAATTGAATGTTTGAGATGTTGAGAGTAAGAGATGGACAGTTGGACGAACGTGACGACAACTTTTCACCTTGTAACGATTAAAATTTTTGGCAATTTAATTGTTACAACATCGTGGGTATAGCTGCCTACACAACAAGAAACACTCACTTGTATACATATAACCGACGGTTCCTGTATTGAAAAACAAAATAAACTTTGTTAAGCATTGATAAAAAAAAAACATTAACAAATCAACTCACCGCAACCCTCTGCCACCACAACGTAACTGGACAAACTTTGAAATTATATGAACTGAAATTTGATATGGGGTAAACTAAAATATTGCAGGAATATTATACCCACTCTAAATTATCGTTTTGAATATTTATGTTGCTGGAACTTTATTGAATATAAAATAATTTTATATTGATTTTAAAATAACTTTTCACATTCACTGAAATAAACACGTTGAGCGGCATAGCATTTTATTGAAATAAAAAACAAATAAGATCAAAACAAAATGTTAATGAAGAAATGTCAAACGAAGAAAGCTTTGGTGCAAAGTTGTGGAACTAGGCCAAACCATAAGAAAGAACAAGTTCCAGCTTCCACATGAGAGAAAAATTAGAATTCGCCCTAAAGCTAGTGCATTCCAGAGGGATCAGTTCACGAGCTTCTATCAACGGTCGTTGAACTTTAACGTACCTACAGCTGGCACCGTTGATCGTTGACGGTATAAAAGTGCGTACACTTGGAAGAAGCGGTCTCTTGTCTTGTTTTGTGCGATCGTGAAAGGAAAAACTCCTGGTTCTGGCGTTAGCAGCAGCGGAATTTCTCTAACTAAGACGGCGGTGGCAATATCAAAAAAATAATTTCTCAGAGATAGTGTAAAATCTTGTATATAAACAAAAGAATTATTTAAAACTAAAAATTAAACTAATTGAACTAGTAAATGTGTAAAAAAAAATCGAAATTCTTAAAAACTTGATTTGATAAATTTTTTATCGACACGGCGCGAAGCGGTAGAATATTATATAAAAAAAAATATAATTAAACAGTTTCTCAGAGATAGTGTAAAATCTTGTATATAAACAAAAGAATTATTTAAAACTAAAAATTAAACTAATTGAACTAGTAAATGTGTAAAAAAATCGAAATTCTTAAAAACTTTATTTGATAAATTTTTTATCGACACGGCGCGAAGCGGTAAAATATTGGTAATAGCCACAGTACAAAAGAAATAATCGACGGCTTTAACAGTGGTCGATTAAAAGATTTTGTACTCGTGCAAGTTTCCTTACGTATAAACGAAAGTGTTGACACCACAGGCAAAAGACGTGGCGCGGCTTGGGTGTCCCCCATCGATACGTGGCAGAACATAAGTTGATCGGTGTTTTTTTTTATATCATCGTCGCTGGACGTTCCAAGCAGTGGGGGATTACGCCCTGATGTATCAGAAAGGGTAAGATTTATTTATAAAATGCAGTGCAGGTTTTCGCGTAAATAAATTCAATGTATAAGCGCAATTTTTAAAATTCATTTTATTTAAATCGAACGAACCGCTTCAAAATTAACAAATTCCAAATTGTATATTTGAATATCTACAAATCTTATTCATTTAAATGGAAATGGGAAAAGTAACAACAATGCAGTCACAATCGTAAAGGCTTCAAGTTAAGCGCATAGGAGTATAAACTTTCTAACCTCAACAAGCTCATGAATTATTAGTTCTTATGAAGTAGAATTTATATTTAAAAAAAAAAAAAATATGTATCTTTGTAAAACTGAACTTAAGCAACTGAAAACAAGATATTTGTAAAAAAAAATGTGTTCTGTTATATGCAAACATAATCTTAATTAATTATAAAGTGTAACATTAAGAATTTAATTATTTAATCCACATTTAAGGAATGTAAAAATATTACATAAAATTCTAAGTAAAATATCAAAGTAATCTTCACACGACTACGCTTAATAGAAATTCTTCTTCCCTTATATTTTTATTTGAAAATATTTTATGAATTTTATGAATTTTGTTGTATTTAAGTGAACACGAAATTGCATTTATAAAACTTTAAACTTAAAATATGATTAATTAATGTTGTTTTTTTTATAAAATTGAAAACAGTTAAATATTATTTGCTTATTATTATATACGAGTATTTGTAAAGATATTATTTGATAATTTTTTTTCTTTAAAATACATTTATTGCTATATTACACATATACATATATTACAAATTGTTCAATAAAGTAAATCTTGAATTATAAAGAAATAGTTTGTTGTACTGGATCTTACTTCGCGACGGTGGAAACTACATTGATTGAACGCTTGGGTCCCCGCGAATACAAATTGCTTGTAAGACCTTGGACTAGGCTGAGGACTACCCCGGCTACGAAAAATAGGTTCATTACAAGTGGCGCCCGAGCTGGGACCCTCGACTAAGGTTCAACAAAATACATCGAAACACAGCTAGTTCTTTAGTTTCAGATATCACAAAACATCTTGTATCAGTTAATATGGGTCGCAGCTGGGTAAGAAATCTACGGAAAGAAGAGCTAGTCGTTTATTTAGACGAATTCGAACAAGATTTAACTGGTGTAGTCGATGAACTGCGCCGGCGATCGGCAAACTTTATTGCACAAGCTGACCACAAACCGCAGATAATAACACGATTAAAAGAACTTGAAGATAGACATAGCAGAGTGTCTGTAGGTGAAGTAGAAAACGATCACGCCGTGGAGGAAATACCATTGCCACCCCCAGAACAGACAACGGAGCGATGCCAAGATAATATTCCACTATTGACTCTTCCTTTACATCAACAGCAGTACACGCAACATACGTTACACGTACCATATACACAACCTAGAACCATGCAAGCAACAGTCATCGATCAGGCTAGAAAATGGGCGGTCCGATTTGATGAGAGCGGCGATCCGTTAGCGTTTGTGGAGCGTGTGGAAGAGTTAGCAAGTGGATATGATCTTGCGAAAAATATGCTACCTCGTGCGATGCCAGAATTACTGAAAGGGCAGGCCTTAGTATGGTTCCGTCACAATAAAGGGGACTGGGACCACTGGGAGCAGTTTAAATCTGATTTTCTAGAATTTTTCCTACCTCATCGTTACTTCGAGCGCTTAGAAGACGAGTTAAGAAACCGAATGCAGAAACCTGGTGAATCATTTAAAATATACGTGTTGGAATTGCAAAAGTTGATGCAACATTTGAAAATGCACGATGGAGCAAAGCTTGAACGATTCTACCGAAACAGTTTGACAGAATACAGGATGCATATAAAGCGACGCGAGTTTAGTACGTTACGAGAGCTTATATTACTCGCTAACGACTATGAAGCAGTTCGAGATGAAGGAAAGAGCAGAAAACCAAGGGAATCTTTTACAACACCAGAACGACGAGATAAACCGATGGTACTTGCAGCAGTGGAACCAATAAACTTAGCTTCAGCTTGTTTTCGATGTGGACGACAAGAACACCAAGCGCGGGGATGTCAGAACCCTCGTATTCTATTCTGTTGGCAGTGCGGTAGACGCGATGTACGGACAATTGATTGCTGCCGAAAAGTTCCGGGAAACTTCCAGCGGTCACGCCGTCTAGAAGCAAGGGGCGTGACCGAAATTCCAACACCGTCTCAGAACCATTCCTAATCGAAAATAATCGTCGTCTTGTCAAAATACTCGTTCAGGATCAACAGATGACAGCCATGATTGATACAGGGGCCAGTAAATATTTTATTCATCCGGGCATAGCAAAACGTTTATATGGCAAACACAACGAAGTAGACTTGGTGGTACGTTTGGCAGATGGTTCACCGCGGAACATAAATTCAATAATTCACACATCACTGCGAATCGGGGCCTGTGAATATGCAGTAACCAGGACTTCCTGGTTTCAGCGTCAAGTATCTTCAAAATAGGGGAAAATACAGTCAAACTCAGTAGAACTACAAATGTGAAACGAGAGATGGTAATGCTGAATTCTACAGTAAGTGATTCGGAACATGTGGACAAATTCTTAGCTCGCGAATTAGCGAAGTTCGATACTCTTGAAGGACTGTCCAATATCACCACACATTCCATCACCATGAAGGATGACAGACCGATTAAGCAAAGATACTATCCTCGAAACCCGGTCATGCAACAAATACTGGACAAAGAAATAAATGAATTATTACAAAAAGGTTGTATCGAACGCTCTCATAGCCCTTATAGCTCACCGGTGGTACTAGTGAAGAAAAAGGATGGTAGTTGGCGACTTTGCATAGATTATCGTCAGGTAAATGCACACTCAATACCAGATGCCTACCCAATTCCTCGTATACAACACATTCTAGATCAACTCAGAGACGCCAAATATATCAGCAGCCTTGATCTCAAGAACGGGTATTGGCAAATACCAAAGGCTGAACAAAGTAAAGAATATACTGCGTTTACAGTACCTGGACGAGGACTATTTCAGTGGCGCGTGATGCCTTTTGGACTGCACTCCGCTCCAGCAACATTTCAACGAGCGTTAGACACAGTGATTGGACCTGATATGGAGCCTTTTGCTTTCGCGTATCTTGATGACATCATCATCATTGGTCATACACTGGAGGAACATATGGAAAATTTGCGAAAGGTATTTCAGCGACTAAGGTGTGCAAAACTAAAAATCAACGTACAGAAATGTAAATTTTTCATGAAAGAAATAAAGTATCTTGGGCATTTGGTGACACCACATGGTATACACACTGATCCCGAAAAGATTGCAGCCATAAAAGAGTTACCTGTACCAAAAGACCTCAAGGAACTACGACGGTGTATTGGAATCGCCTCGTGGTATCGCCGTTTTGTACCACACTTTTCAAATACAATACAACCCCTTACGATGTTATTAAAGAAAGGTAAACGATGGCAATGGACGTCAGACCAACAAGTGGCGTTCGATATGTTAAAAGAAAAATTAACGAGTGCCCCAATTCTAGCGTGCCCCAACTTCACCGAACAATTTGTATTGCAGACAGATGCCAGTAATTTTGGACTAGGAGCAATACTGACTCAAGAAATAGCCGGCGAAGAAAAGGTGATAGCTTATGCAAGTCGCAGTTTAAATCCAGCTGAGAAAAACTACTCGACTACTGAAAAGGAGTGTCTGATGATTGTCTGGGGAGTAAGAAAAATGAAACAATATTTAGAAGGTTATCGTTTCGTAGTCATAACCGATCATCTGGCGCTGAAATGGTTAAACAACATTGAAAATCCAACTGGTCGTATCGCTCGCTGGGCGCTAGAGCTACAACAATTCAATTTTGAGGTACAATATAGAAAAGGAAAGTATAATGTCGTCGCGGATGCACTGTCTCGTCAACCTCAAACCACACTGGCCCTGTTGAATATGCCGGATACGACGAAAGAAGATGGACAGTCTTGTTTACGGTTAACGAACTTGAGGAAAACATTAACCGATAATCCAAGTAAATACCCCGACTACACTATCGAAAATAATCAGCTGTACCGTCGTATACACAACTCTTATAGCAACGAGGGACATCCTTGCTGGAAACTGTGTGTACCTCAATCCATTCGGCCTCAAGTATTAAAAAAGTGTCATAATGATATCACGGCAGGACATTTAGGTAATCAGAAAACAATCCTTCGAGTTACATCGAGATACTTTTGGCCAGGAATGTATCGTGACATCAAAGATTATGTGCGGAAGTGTGATACATGTCAAAAATACAAGGTCAGTCAACAACTTAGTGCAGGAAAGATGTTAACAAGTTTACCAGAAGAGCCATGGGTAACAGTATGTGCAGATTTTATTGGGCCCTTACCACGTTTGGTTAGAGGAAACACGGTGGCTCTCGTATTTTTTGATAAGTTCTCTAAATGGGTGGAAATCATACCAATGAAGAACGCCACGACGGCCGGTGTTAAAAAAGCCTTCAGAGAAAACATCATGGCGCGGTTTGGGATTCCGAAGATCTTGGTCACAGACAATGGAACACAATTTACGAGCAAGGTATTTCAAAAATTCTTAGTCGAATTGGGCATTCAACATCAACATACAGCCCCTTAAACACCTCAGGAGAACCCGACTGAACGTGCAAATCGTACAATAAAAACAATGATCACGCAAAACTCAATAGTTGACCACCGACACTGGGACGAGTGTTTACCCGAAATCACGTTAGCGATAAACTCCTCAATTTCGTCTTCAACAGGTTTCAGTCCGGCATATATTACTCAAGGTAGAGAGCTTCGAATGCCGAGTACATTATATGATGCGGTGACACCAGGACTTGGAAGAGCTACAGAATCTTCCGATAACAAAGCGCGAAAGTTACTGGAAATATACGCTATTGCTAGCAGAAACATGGGAAAAGCATCACAAGACCAGGCAAGATATTATAACCTCCGACGACGGGAGTGGAAACCAGAACTTGGCACACTGGTACTTAATCGTTCACAACCACTATCTAATGCGCTAGACGGCTTTAATGCAAAATTAGCCCCGAAATATTGCGGACCTTATGAAGTAATAAACTTTGTATCACCGGTCATAGTGAAGCTGCGTGAACTACATGGCGATAAAATAATTTCGGCTCACTTAAGTCGAATTAAACAGTATCATTCTTAATTTAAAATTATTTTGTACCACTTACTTAATCTTGTTTATCTTTATAGTTGTCATCATTCTGAAAATTCGCTGTCAGATGAGGTGAGCGAGAGTCGTCTGGAGGACATCCTGCAGATCACGGCCCCTCCTGATTGGTAGGACATACTTCATTCACCTCCTCGAGTGACGAATAGCAGTGATTGCCCTCCAACGCCTCCAATTGCCAAAACCATTTTAAACCGCCAAGAAAATGACAACAAGCATTATCGCAAACGAAGCTGGCCGTTTAAGTCATGTGATGCAGAAGCGAGAGACGAGTACATGAACCATTTCCATGAACAGCGAGATATACAACACTCTATGAGACAAACCATAAACAACTGGGATTGTCCAGCAACTCCTCCAACCGCTAAAGCCATTCTACAACAGCAAAACGCTCACGAGAAAGCAATCACATCAAAGTATAATAATGAAGTTACCACTGCTGAATTTCTGAATGAAGACCTTAGCCCGGGAGAATACTACAGAAGCAGGGCTATGATTTAAAGAAGTGGTCCAGAAGCAGGCGTCATCGGTTCAAAGCGACATGGGACGGCAAGACTCGACTGATTCGTATTGCCAGAAATGGAGATATCCGTATTGATATCCTCTCGTAAAGAAAGGAGGGAGTGTAACGATTAAAATTTTTGGCAATTTAATTGTTACAACATCGTGGGTTCCGCAGCCCAACAACAAAGCTCCAATATCCAGAATACCTTGAGCTGATATAGCACCATATTTTGCCAGTACATCTTCATGTTTGTTGCTTATAACTTCTGCTTATAATTGCATAAAGTAAGTTACTTTTGGTAAAGTTTGGTCAGTATACTTCATTACTTTCATTGCCGATGCAATGGATGCACCTTGACGAACAAAATTTACAGGATTGAATTTAACAATTGGTTCCAACAAAGCAATAACCTCTCGCTATACAGCATCACCACACGCTATACCAAACCGCAACAGCCCACCCCGCAACAACAGAACTCCAGCACTGGAAGTGATAGTCATATTTTACTATAGTCCACACACTATTTTTTTTATTTAAATTGATTAATATATTTATTATAATTATAATTATTTGATTAAATTGTAGTTTATCTTTAAAAAAAAAAAACAACCACATTATCACTCATAGAAAAATAATCAAACCAAAATTGGAGAAAATAAGAAATGTCATTGTCATGTGCTTTGTACATTTTCGGTTGATCGTAAAAATGTTGCAGCGGATAATAAAAGGAAAAAAGCTGCGAGTGCAGTTTAAAGCTTTCAGAACCCTGGAAAAAAAACAACAGAATACCTGATGAGGGGAAATGTTGAGGGCATTGACCGAACAACGGCTAGCGAAAAAGTCCGCTCGACGCAGTTAGAAAAAAGGAGAATAAAAGGC